AATCGCTGTGTGAGAAGCTGATGCTGCTGTCCAACGTGTAAGATGTCGCTGTTGATTGTGAATAAGTGGGCCATCAGCTTCAGAGGTCGTTTTGCTCACACTTTCAGCTTTCCTACTGGTGACCCGAATGAGTTGGAACAACTTACTGGAATTTCCCATGGAGGCAACACGTTCCTTCTCCGACGCACGTTCAGACCACCAGATTTCGCGATCTCTGCGTAGACTTCCATTGAGTTTACATCTTGTTATCAGTCGTGTTTTGTTATGCTTTCTGCCGGCAGGGCTTGATCGACCTGTGTCGAGAAGATGCAGAAACTATTCAGAAATACAGGGTTTCGCGGCTCGACATGTCAGACCACAACAAACTAAACCAAAAGAATGCAAAGTACACTTGATGGGTGACCAGTGCTGACTGATGCTTTCAGGTGGGGTTGGTTTTAGCTTTTAAGCTAGCGTGTTTTGAAAGGCAGGTACAAATGCTAATTCGGACAGCGTCTCCTAATGTAACCATCGTTGTGTTGTGAGTTTGACACACACACCGAAGCATATATACATCTTTTGCAAACTAATGCGTAGTCGGATTCGAGAGGAGTACTCCAGTACGATCGGTAGTCTTGTACGCAACCCCACCATTTAGGGCTTGTAGAGATATGGTCGATTTGCATTTGTCGCTGACTCGAGGAGGGTGAACGGCAAGTGCCGTACAAGCAGCTGAAGTTCGTACTGGCGAGGGATAGGCGTTGGCATGAACATAGAGCCAACGGCCGTTCACCGTTTTCCGAAAAACAGGAACATAGTTCGAAAGGACTTCCCANGTACGATCGGTAGTCTTGTACGCAACCCCACCATTTAGGGCTTGTAGAGATATGGTCGATTTGCATTTGTCGCTGACTAGAGGAGGGTGAACGGCAAGTGCCGTACAAGTAGTTGAAGTTCGTACTGGCGAGGGATAGGCGTTGACATGAACATAGAGCCAACGGCCGTTCACCGTTTTCCGAAAAACAGGAACATAGTTCGAAAGGACTTCCCAGATGCGCTTCACTCGATTTTATCCGACATATTCTTGCATTCATATCTCCCGCTAAAATCACGTTATCATCCCGAATCGCTTTACGCAAGAGGTTGTATATTTTTCGGTAGAATTTATCTTCGACTGTACCTGTCCTGCATTCCGTTGGCGGTGTTAACATCACCAAATTATCACCCCGCGATGGGTGTTCAAATCCCACCACCACCGCTTGATTTTCCCCATTGTGTGGTGAGTGACAGCCGTTTGATTGGCCGCTTCCACCTTTCGGAAAATTGTATCTTTGTATATTCAATAAAAGGAAGTGAAATGAAATGAAAATAAAATAAAAAGAAGAAGCGTGCCCCGACATGACAAACAAGTTTTGTCTATTGGGCTACGACTGCTTACTTTGCACGAGCCTCTAAGTCTCAGTGCTCATAGCCTACTGTCGACTTGGATCCAATCTAGGAGCGCGGCTTCAGTCCTCTCACTGAGAGCCACGCCAGCAAGACCAGGAACCGCAGCCTCAGGGTCCCCAGAAAGACGTAAGTGAACCTTCGCTGATAGATCTTGTTGAGATGTCAATCGGATGGTATAGATGGAGTCTTGAATACGACTTTCTTGGATGCAACACACGTCGATGGCTAGGGTTCCGAGCGTGTGAGCTAGACCTGTTGTCCTGTACGCATCAGATCACACACGTTAAACGTGGCTAGTTTGAAAGGACATCGAAGGCAAAGAAGAGTTTCAAGTGGATAAATAAGAGAAAGCTGAGTTCTCCCGGCTATACTGGGTGAGCTTCTAAAGGTACTAACTGGTTGGTTGCGTGCACTGAAGAACATGACAGGGGTCGAAAACAGTGGTGCACTTTTCTTTCCTAGAAAGACGGTAAGATGTGTGTACCGTAGTGAGCCACCTTTCATTTTTCCCCANATGGCTAGGCCCTCAAAAGTACGAGCTAACTTACTTGTTTTTCTGTAAGCATCGGAATAAGCACAATTAATGTAGCTAGTTTGAACCGGCATAGAGGACGAAGAAGGTTTTCGGCTGCTAAAGTATTCGATGAGACTTTTTTTGTAGTCCAGTTATGATGTGCGAACGCAGTTATNCAAAGAAGAGTTTCAAGTGGATAAATAAGAGAAAGCTGAGTTCTCCCGGCTATACTGGGTGAGCTTCTAAAGGTACTAACTGGTTGGTTGCGTGCACTGAAGAACATGACAGGGGTCGAAAACAGTGGTGCACTTTTCTTTCCTAGAAAGACGGTAAGATGTGTGTACCGTAGTGAGCCACCTTTCATTTTTCCCCAACTCAGGAAAATGGTTGTTTGGCAGATTGAAGTCTCATACTGAAATCGTGAAAAGTTCAGTAGCCTCGGTAACACTCGAACCCACGCATGAATGCCGCCTAAATACATTCGTATTTATTCATACATATTGTAAACATGGCAGTGCTCAGCGAAATTTCTTTCACTGTAGTTTGCTGTGTGATGTTAATGATTTCGTCATTCGTAGGTGGTGTTAATTATCCCTTTTTTCTTTTCAGTTCTCGATGTACAATACGTTTTGGAGCTAGTTGTTTTGTTTTCAATGAGAATCTTATTTCGCAAACGAATCACGGATACGTCGAGAAATGGGGAATCGAGTTCATCCGAAGGCTTGGACGATGTATTGAATGACGTCTCAAGCTTCTTAGAGGATGTCCCGGAGATTAAAACATCGACTGAAAGGAGTCAAATTAGTAAGCGCCCCAAAAGTATTTTGTAAATTTACGAATTGTGCATAGCCAAATAAAAATATTCCTGTCTGTTAATTCATCGTGCACAAAGGATAAGATCCATCGATCACAGAAGCAGATAACCCGTAACTATAAGCCTCAGAATAAAGAATTACTTAAAATCCTGTAGAAAAAATAAATTACACCTTACTTTCAAGTACAAATGCACTGAACTTCTCACTATTTCTACTGTCAATAATTCTACATAACACAGAGCGATTTATGGAAAAATGATATACTCGTTTTGATTCAAAATATCTCGGATTATAAAGGGTAGACTAGTACTAATACGAAAACCGTTTTTATTTGCTCAATCGAGTGTGCTTGTATATGAGACGGTTTTCCTATTTTTCCTGCAATGTTAGAATCGATAGGATAAAATCAGTGTTGCCACGAATTGATCAAATAAGTACTTGAAACCAGATAGCCATTAATCTTTAATGGGGTTTCCTTCATGGATTTGGTTGTGCACACAGATTCCGAATTCACTAAAGCAAGATATTTCTAACCTTGATTTTCAATTTGTATCGGAGAAGTTGTAAGGTAGAAGTTATCGCGCTACCACATCCGTATATATGCATTGCAAGAAAAAACGAGGACGCTTTTCTGCAGTTGTGCAACTGCCGTGGCTAGGAACCGACTACACGCATGAATCCTCGCGCCTTATTACCGTCGATCGGCCGACGAGATAGCACATCCTGACTTTCCCGTGCTGCGCACTATTTTTGATTAAACAAATTACTGGCAGTCAAACATGCCACATCCCATTTTGGCATGTAGAGGTTAGTAAATAAACTTTCCGAACTTCGGATAACACTTCTTTTTCACTCTCTTCCGAACTAAATCCTGGACACTGTCTGAGTTTTAATGTTGCAATTTTTGATCGCATCCAATTTCCTTTGTTGTATCACTATTTTGGTCATCATCTGTCTTTTCACTCTTACAGTTGTCATTAAATTCCGATTGAGCTAGCAATAAATCCAACACAACCGCACTTTAAACAGTTTCTTTATGGAACACGTACAGTAAATTATAAACAAAGTCGCTATTAATGTGTTTAATAACCTTCGATACTGAGCACATTAGCATGACTTCTCGGCATCAAGTCTAGAAGATTATTAGTATACTCTTGTCTATGAATTTTGGTATGCTCCACACCATGTTTCCGTAGTTTCACAATAATAACGTTGTCTTCAGAAATGCTAAGCATATTTTCAGCTTGTCTATCTATGGGTTGTTTTAGGGTATTCGAGTAAAAATAAACCTTGAGAGGCTCAGATTTTGCTGTATTTTGTTACACAAAACTTAAATTCTTTCACAAAACTGATTGAAATAAGCTTACCTGGTGTAAGATACGCATGGGACATTATCGTAAGCATGTATTTCACTGTTCTGTTTTAAACCGTTCGCAAATAGCATGCGTCAAAATATACAGGGAAATAACGAACTCCCAAAGGATGAAACTGATACCTCAACATTATTCGGTCGACCCTGGTGTCTGTAAATTGACATCACCGGTAAAAATTCTAATTCAGAGTAGAAGAACATCATTGTTACGATCTCCCAGATGCGTGTAGTGAAAGCCTAAACAACGGTCACCGCTGCGGGTTTCGTTCATGCACAACCGGCACGGTTGGAAGAAATCTTGTGGAAACCAGCCTAACAGAGTGAAAAACTTAACAAAAGCTGTCCCTATTATAAACCCGAGTCGACTTCCAGGATGAGGTGCAAAGATTTCTGAATGTCTTCAGTGTTCAACCTTAAAAGGCATATCTCGTAGCCGAGCACAGCGGCGGAGCTGTTCAATCATCTGTTGTTTCTTTATACTTCAACAAAAGCCTAAACAAGCTCAAAATAACACGCACAGAGACCATTTCGTTCGCGCAGTTCCTTATTTCCTGCCCAGTTATATTTATTTTTTCTATACATATATACATATATATATATATATATAATGGTGATGCTATTCCGAAAACGATACTAAACAAGATGATCGCAATGCTAGTGTTGGTCTCCGTGCTCACCCATTTTTCTCCAATGACGCTCCCAAAATAATCCTCTTGATTTTGTTTAAGTTTATTCTAGCCCTTCTTCCAATGGAAAGTCTGCTCGCATCACACACGCCAATGTGCGGTACGACCAAGTCAGTTCTGTAAAAGATATCGAATCGCGGCATCATGGGACAACCACGCTCAATTCTTTAAATTCTCCTTGCGCAATGGATCAGGTTGTCAATGGCAGTTCTATTCGTGTGCAAGGTGAAGCTGAGAAGTCCACACAGCTGAATGAAAACACCCTTCAATCGACCCCACCTAACGATGAAGGTATCCTGGTTCCATCTGGGACTGGAGAACAAACATTGGAAAATTTAGAGACCTTGTCATGTGTACCGAAATGTGCGCTTATGCAATCAAAGGCGATAAGTCTGAGAATAGATCACATTCACATGGGTGCCAGTGGGGTTAATTCATCGAAGGCAGTCATGCATTCCGAAGCTAGTGGCGGTCCCGAGAATAGCTTATCACCCGCTGATCGTAATTCTCAAGGCATAGCATCAGTCCTTACAAGTGAAAAAATGAAAAAAGCGAAATCAGAGGCTGAGCAGGCTGTTAGGGTAAGTATATTTCATGCTTTATGCTGTGAATACTCCTTGCGTTGATCATGTCTCGTTATCTTGCAAGAAGTCATATCGCATTACTCGAACATTTGAAGGTTTATTTGGTTTGGTGTTTAATTTGTTTGTGATACAAACCGATTAAATTTTGTGGGATCGTTCTGAGTTTTCATAATTTTAAGTGGCTTGGGAACAAGTATGACGCTAAAGCGAAACAAAAATAATGAGAGAGGATGGGGCATAGTTGGGAGAAATCAGGGCAAGTGATTTACAAAATAGAACGATGACAAAAATAGCCATGGTTCTGCTGTGTTTCACCATATACCTTTTGGCGTTTTTGTTTGCTTTGTGTTTTTGCCTTCAGAGAGTATTGGACTTTAACTAACAGACCGCGTCAAATTAGCTCCACTGATATCTATTCTGAGTCTTATCTCAGCATCTCAAACCAGCGACATTCTCACCCTTAATCCTAAGCACGCTCTTACTTTGTATTTCCATAGTGTGTTTTTCGCTGCTATCTTTCGGCCACCCACTTGATCAACTCATGAAGATGAGGTTAAAACTGAGAGCTGCATCGTGAAAAAGATGTCAATGAATCAATTGTTCATGCGCACAATTCTGTCTTCAATATCAGGAATAGTAATAACTAGCGGACCATCATTCTCCGTTAACTTCGGCATTGCTTTTACCTTACTGGAGAGGTTCTGATGTATACTGATGAAATGGGCAAACAAATATTCATTCACATTTATCTTGCAGTTACTGATACGGATTGTGTCAAAAGTCGGTTCTTCAGGAAATGCTCTCAATATATTTCCTCTAGTCCACTGGACACAAATCATATTTGGGAAGCGAAACATTGGTGTTTATAATAAACCTGAACCAATCAGATTGTTCGGGCCGGCAAATTTAAAGTCTTGTACGGACCAATCATAAACATACAATTGATGCAGTAAAACAAAACGACCAATTCAAACAACATTACAACACAGATTGGAACTAACCATCCTTCAGACTTCGCCTTCGCGAAAAATCCTCAGCTCTAAACCCGAGGTTCGCTGTTGTTATGGCTTAACAGCAGTGAATATTTACCGGGATTCGAACTCCGAACTCAATACGAGGGAGGCGTGTATTACCACTGGGTCAACCAGCTCACAACTGGGCGGACGAGAATCTTCAATTCAAGTTTTTCCAGACATCGTGTTTCATGATATTCAATCCGATCATTCTGACCCGAGAGAACGAGGTGGTTGGTACAGTGATAACACACACGTCTTCCGTGTGATTTTTCCAGAATTCAAAGGGCGGTCGGGGTAGTGCCAATGCACCACTGATGAACTCTGAAGCAAAACTCTACAATATACCTTTTCAACTTCAACTAAATCCGTTGTAACTTCAATAGATTCCAACCAATCGCACTTTACCAGGAAACTAACCATGTGATTGGTTTTTCTACCGACACACGTCACCGATTAGACCGGGTCTATCAAAACCCCGTCCAATCGGAGTGAACTGGTTCTTCCATAGACAAACGAAGGTACTTTCTGAATGAGGATGAAAGTTTCTTTGGGGTAGGGTTTGGTTGTTCTTCCCCCCTCCTCCCCCGGTATCACACGGGTACATTGTTATTGTAGTAACTTCTGTAGGCACAAAGCCTACATTTCAGTTAAAAATATACAAGTTGGAGAGAGGAAGAAAATAAAAACAATAATAATAAAGATTTATATCCGAAAACTGTTAACAAAGTCTGTGAAAATCTGTTCTTGGTTAGCTAGAATACGTGCTAATAAGGGTACCGTAGAGATACGATATATGTTTATTCGAGAGGGAGCACAACGGCATTGGCATCTAGTTGACGGATGGGAACAACAGGAAGTTAAATCTGTGTAGAGTCGACAAGAATCTTATATGCAAATTTCACATTTTAACTCCTAACATTATTTGTTCTTACAGGTTAGTTACAAAATCCTCCAGCAGGATTGAAAAGAAGCGACTAATGGTGTTCAGTCGACGCCGAAGCAGTTTAAAATCTTTAAAAGGTTGGAAAAGCAACTTGTGAACAATAACGTAAAACAGGAAAAACACGAATTGGAAAATAATCGGAAATAATCGATTGTTGAGTCTGAAACTGACGAAGTTGACACATATGAAAAGAAATTCATGGAAGTTTAGCGACGATATTTTGAATGCGAAAGGTCCAATGAAGATTTTCATCTATAAAAAACTCAAGGTGTTTGATACAATTTACCCGGAATCCTGGTTCAGAGCCAATAAATATCAGTTCAAACGAGAAAGAAGGGCATCATATTGTAAAGAGACATTCGAAACATTCGGAGGGAGTAAGCGAGAGGCCGAATGTGGCGGCAAATTGTTAAACGTTTTCCAGGTCGTCAGAAAATCGTGAAAGACCAGAAGAATCAAAGATGGCCTGACATAAAACCAAATCGTCAGCGTATTTGCAGAGAGAAGTAGGGGCGCTGGCCGACAAGTCACTAATGTACGTAGAAAATAAGCATGGGTAAAGGATTGCACCTTGGAGTACTCTGGAGTTGTTCATCAATGGTTTGGACTTCCTCCAACTTAATCTGGTAGATTGAGTTCTCCTGGAGAAGTTATCGGCAAGCCAAGCCATTAACTGCCTAGGAACACCGAAGGTCTCCAGTTTATGAAGAAGAAGGGAACCAGAAATAGGATCGAAAACAGATGAGTATTCCTGAACCACAACGAACGGATTTCGCGGTCATTCAAGGATGTGGTAATTTTCTGTAAAAGTGCGGAAACCTCATCTAGCGTGCATCTGTTTTGTTTATAGGCAAACTGGAGAGGATCATACGGGACATCAAGTGGGGACTGAATGCGTATAAGAACAACACATTCTGCTAATTTGAGTTCAGCTGAATTTAAAGCGATGGAGCGGAAGCGTTTGGTTAGCACGTTTAAAGTAAAGGATAAGAGAATGGGAACAATTGTGACTAGTTGCCAACAGTCTAGTATGGTGCGTGTTTTTCAGGAAGTGTTGAAAAATGATGCAAATATTGCACTGAGAGAATAGGCCCCATATCTCAAAAGGGAAGATGAAGGACGATCGGGACTAACAATGTACGTGGATTTCACGGTACGCAAAAGCTCAAAATTTTCTTTTTTCGAGACGGCCTCTACTTGAACGGCATCATCCAGAACAAATGGCGTGGTGGCATCGCTTGATGGGTAGATAATAAATGCTACATTGACACTACCTAAATCCGTTGTACAATCCGGATTTCGGGATTTTGTTCCTCACAATTATTTGATACCTTGCCAAATTCACGTATTATTGTTACATTGCAGGAGCTGGGAGGCGTACGACTCAGAGAGGCGTTAGACTTCAACTTTGACGAGGTTGATTTAGTAGTTGACAGCCGCTAAGTCTCTAGATTTGTACAGTCGTTCCTTCTGTCTTCTGAATGATTTCAACAGTGCCGATTCTTTCATTGTATCCTTGAACCATTGTTAAGTATCTTGTCAATTGTCGAATGGGTTCAATGGATGATCTATGTCGGTAGAAAAACCAATCACATTTTTGGGTTCCCGATAGAGTGCCATTGGTTCTATTTGATTGAAGTTACAACCGATTCACTTGAAGCTATAGCAGATTTACTGGAGGTTACAATAGATTCACGTGAAGTTGAACAGGAATAGTTTTTCCTAAATGTATAGTTGATTAGATGGCGGTAGTGGCACAGCGGTTTGGTCGCTGTCACCGGCTTGCTTTGAACCCTGTTGCCTCCGCTTGAGCTTGAGTCCGATTCGCGTATTGAGTTACATCAACACCGTGATCTAAGACGAACGGGTTTGAACTTTGCAATAACGGTCACTCCTCAACTGGAATGAACAAATTCTCACGCGGTATCAACGATCAATCCCGAACTGGAACAAACGTATTCCACGCNCACGCGATAACAAAGAAAGATCCCAAGGAACCGAAACCAATGAGACCGTGTAATGAAAACACGAATACAGACGATAGACCACCACGGTTTACACGATATCTAAAATGCATTATAATAAATTGTGCAAAACAGGAAAAAAGACATACTTGGATGTATGCTCAACCAAGCAGAACGCAGAAAACAATCGAACGAAATGTACACCAAGCTCAACCGAGCTGACCAAGCAATAAGTCCCGGGGCGAACGTCGAAAATGTTATGTTGGAACGTTTAAACATACAGGAAGTTACAGACAGCAAACAGTTGAAATGACAGAAAGCAAACAGTAATCAAGAAGAAGAATAGAAAATCCTTCGTTTTAACCATGGTGCATCAGCTGCCGTAACAGACCCTATGGTCCGAATTTCGAGCTCCGCCATCTCCACCCATCTTTACTACTAGGCTATTTTGCTGTCGTCCGGTTCAATACCACGCTAAACTGGTGAAACCTTAAGTGTTTTCCCACTCCATGTTCCGTGGCTTAGGTTTCCGGTCCCTACCACTGAAGAGCACATTTTTATGACTATGATTTCCGCCCCGTCTGCCGTTCAGTACACAGTAGTATGTAATGACGAAATGTACTGGATAGCTGTTTCGACCTGGTTGGGTCCTTTTTGAAGGTGAATCAAATCCAATATTGCTCACTTGAACCAAGTAGTCGGGTTGTGAATGTTTCCAACCGAGTCATAACCCTAAAGGCTGTTGCTGAAATGACTGAGATCTGTGGCCCACAACAAGCTGGCAAAGATGGGTTGTGCTAGATCGTGTAAATGGAAAATGAAAAACAGTCTGATCAGCTACCTGGTGGCCGGGCGGGTGGCATGCTTGCGTTCTGCTTGTGAGGTCCCGGGTTCGATCCCCACTTGCGTCGATGGATTCGCTCTGCTGATGAGACCCGACCAGATCGAAACGGCTCTCCAGTGCTTCCCAGCTTTTCAGTTCACGCTCCATTTGCTANNATTGTATTGTGCATAACTTTTGCAAGCACTGGAGCTCACATTTCAGTTAAAAAGTCATACACGCTAACCGTCACAATGTACATAATCAACGGGGAGAAAAGGTTTTACAGGCATAGGGAC